GCACTGACAGAGGCGAGGCTGCTGGACACTGGCGCCACCGGGCCCTCTGACCACCACCAGTAGGCGGTAGGTGAAGTGTCTTGCCCAAGGACACAACGACCGAGACTATCCGAGCCGGGACTCGAACCGGCAACCTTCCGATTACAAGGTGAACTCCCAACTCTTGAGCCACAATCGCCCATAAAGTCTAGAAGCCTGGACGGGAAAGAGTAAACAAAGATGGCGCATAGAAGCAGAACTGAGTCTTATGTGTGGAGGGACAGTAACTGTGTGTGTATATGTAAGCATTTAAACACTGCAGAGAGTACAAGTAACAGTATTTTGTGTAAGTCTGCCATTGTAGAAATTCATTTCACCGAAACAATAACGTGGCGCACAGTGTGACGTCAAAAAAGGCGCACACCTTTGACGCTGCGTTTTCTCCGTTTTCCTCGTCCACAGTAAATGCAAAAATGGACTTTTCGAAAATATCCACCCTGGCAGGCGTTTTTAAAAATCTCAGTTTTCAGTGACCGAAAACGCCGTTTACGTGTGGAAGAAAGGTGCAAACGCATAGAAAAATCTGCGTTTTCAAAAATACCCGGTACGTGTGGACGTAGCCTAAGATATCATGTTTTCAAATTGTCCAAATCTGCAGGCAATATTTGCTCTTCCCTACTTATTCTACAGTTTTAACAGTTTACATATGACAAAAACAGATTATTGAGCAAAGTATACATATGTAAGTTATATATTTCTACACTTTTTTCAGTAAGCTCAAAATGTGAATATTTATCAAAAATATAATAATATTTCCAAGGTCAGTTTTCAGAGTAGAATAAAAAAGCTATTGTAAGCTGCCCTGAAGCACAAAGACCTTTACTTATTTTTATTGTGGGTTTTCCTCCTGGTCATAGCTGCACTGCTTAACAATGTTCCCTCTAATTTTTCACATGTCTGAGCAAACGGACAAACTCCCTGAGCGATCCCTTGGACCACTGTGAGCGACATCAGACGTGTGCACTGTGGTCACGCCGGCATCAAATCCATCCAAGTTTCATGGTTTATTAAAATAATCAAATTACAGGGTTTACATTTATGTTAGACTACTTTTAATTAACTGCTTTAGCCCATTTACAATGGAAATGTAAAAAAATCTTGTTCATGACTTGTGTAGTATGTTAACACTTGGAAGTAAAAATAACTTGAACTCCAATTTCGAAAACACAACTTTCTTTCTTTTTTTTCTTTTTTTTTTTTATAAAGCTCTTACTTGTATTATGAGTCTGTGGTCTGGGAGAGAGTCCTGTAACTCTGTCTCCAAAATACAGTATATAAAGACCAATGCTGGGCAATTAATTATATAGTTACTTCTTCAAAAAAGTAACTCAGTTTGGCAAACAACAACGTTTTTGCAGCTATTTTTTAAATGCAGCCAAGGCGTTTTTAAATAAACATTTCAAACTATTTACAGAACAATCAGCTGTTCTGCATCAAATCTGATGCCACAAAAATTATTTGTGTCACTCCAAAAAATTATTTCTGTCCACTATGAGATAAAGGAGAACAACAGCCTGATACCTGCAGGCCTGATAACAGGTGATGTATCACTGCTGTAACACCTGTAACATTCAGCAGTCGCCTCATTGTTCTGACACACACAACAAAACTACTGACTACACTACACACTAACGACACAAGATTTGCGCTAAACGTTGCAAATCTCTCACATCTCAAAACACCGCCATCACTCCTAAAACTTCCCCCTTTCTTAACAACTAGATGCCACGTTGCCATATCATTTTTGATTGGTTGACAAGGTACTTTTTTGGACGAATAGGAAAGGCAGAGGGGAGTGGGGTTTGTTTTTGCTCACAGGTGGAGAGTGCTTTCGAGCCTTTTTTCTTATAAAACGCCGATTTAACCGTTTCTTCCTGCAGTAAATATAAACAATGACAGTATTCAGGAAGAAAACCAAACATTTCATATTTTTTTTATCACAACCCTGGTTTTATGTGGCCTATCAACACAATTTAAAAACTGCTATAAAGTCCCCAATTTTTCCGTCAATTGTTCCGTCTGTCCTGCTCACATCTCCAATAGTTGTACACCTTGTCATTAACGTGGCTTCTCTCCACATCAGCCACGCCCATTTGCTAGCTAAAACACCGGTGTCGGCACATAAGGACGCTGTCATAGCCTTTCAACCACGTTGATTGGCTGCGCATATACGCATTATTGGCTGGACTATGGGATAAGGTGGCATCGTTCCCATATCGTTCCCAGTCACTTACTGACTAACACTGCGAAACAGAATTGTTAAAGTATTAATTTTAATTTCAATTCAGGTTAGATTTCTTTTGTGCCCAACGCAGAATTTCTGTGCGCAGAGACCGTGCCAGCAGTGCGCAATTGCGCATGTGCGCAGCTTAGAGGGAACATTGCTGCTTAAGTTAAACTCCTTGCTTTTTTCTGAGTAAAGTTGGGCTTGTATGTATTAATATGTAATTACTTTCAGCCCAGCTTACAGGATACAATACTGCGTCTCTCCAAATTAACACTTTAACAATCGTTCTTGCTTTAAAAAGAAAACAAAAATTTAAAAAAAGATAAAAAAAAACCCATTTGAGGGATTGGATATGAGAACAGTTCCTGGTGCTCATTTCGGAAGTCAACAAAGGATTATACGTACGTCAAAGCCTCAATTAGTCAAATATTTAGAGTCTAAACAATGTTTTCAAGAGTAACCATAAATTACACAAGGATTTTAGAAACATATTAAAGTCTTTATGAACTTTATTAACTTCTAAAATTTTAATCGGATGCTTTGGTTTTACCTGTATAATAGGCGTTGTTCAAATTAAATTCCTGAACCAATTATTGGGGTTATTCTGATAGTAACTATTGGGCTACCATTTATTTGGTCAAATTAAGGTATCTCTTCCAATCAGGCAGGTTTGTTGATTCATGTTTGTGAAATCCAAACATGGCTCCTAAACAGAAGCCTTTTGCACCTCCTCAGATGAAACTGGGTTAGAGGGAAAGGGGGCGGACAGGTCTTCTGGATCGTGTTCGATGGAGCAGTTGGTTTGGTCGGTGGTGACAGAGCAGGTGGAGCCGTCGGAGCTCACCACATCAGACTGGGAGACATAGTTGTACTCACGCACAGGGCAGGCACGCTCGTTGTAGTCCGGTTTAAAATTGTCTTTCAGGCCTTTGGAGAACTGAAACCAATCCTTAAAAAAGAGAGAAAAAAAACCTCACTTGTAACGAATAATTGCTTCCCCAGATTTTGATGACCAAAATCACTCAAACACAAGAGTATTTCTATTTTTAGCCATTAAGTGGCACTATTGTCAGGCTTTTCGTCCAACTCTTGATCCAGAGATATTAAAATCTGTTAAACTGATTGCCTGAACATCTACAGACATTCAAGGTATCCAGAAGATGTAAACCAAGCTGTTCTTTAGTCCAATCAATGACATAAATCAACAGCTACTGAACTAATTGTCATGAATCTTGATGTAAGTGTTAAGATTAAAGCTACTAAAATCCATATAGAAGCTCATCTGCCATTTAATTCTTCCAGTAACTTCAATAGCTTTCCAAATTCATATTAACAACTATATAAAACCCTTGTAAGACTGGGAATTTCAGGGAGTGGACAGAACTCTGGATGCCACTGACCTCGATGTTATGCAGGAATGGAGATGGCTTGGGAACCACAGGGACGAGGATGATTCTGAGCCTGTATGGGAGGTAAGGAAATCTTTAGCATTCACATTATCATCAAACAGCAACAACTGCATTAGACTTTGTTGGTTTCAGAACTCCAACTGAGCGTGGCTGGCAGACAGCTTTTGACATTAAGGTCAGGATCATCCGATATAAAGGTGCAAAATGCTCCAGATCCAGTCCCCCCCATAGATGGATCAGATCTAGTTACATTGCTGATCTAAAATATTCTTTGAGTCTGCCGCTGTCCGTGTCACATATACTTCGGGAACTTTATGAATGAATGAAGTCAATTTGGAAAAGTTTCCAAAATGCACAGCGTGTAACACATTGCGTTATCTGTAAAGTCTGTTCTTTGATTGCTTTGCTGGTTAATTTGTTTCAGTGTTTCTGGAAGGAAACTTTGTAGGCTTAGCTTATTTCACAGGTGTGTTTAACGTCAAGCATTTTCCTTTTCGTATTATTTGAAGGTTATTTAAGGTCAGACTTTTATAGATCAAATAACTAATGTGTAATTTTGAAGAAAGTAAGAGT